TCGACGCCTCTTGGCACACCAATAACGAGGACAAGCTGAAGAACGGATGGCGAATGATAGAATATTTCCTCACTTCGTGAAACTGAAGTCATTCTTTCCACCCTCAACAGCTTGTTTTCTGATCAACGGACAGAAATACAATTAAAACAACGTCATAAACGTTCACAAAGAAAAGGAAGCGCTGTAAAAGGGATGAAGCCTCCCAGTTCAGTAGTTAGTTGTAGAAACGAAGAATGGTCTGATTCTGTATCGTTTATTCAAACGTCGCCAATTCGGACATCAGCCACATTGTCCTTTATCAGGTCATAGGCATTAGTGCTTTTCTTTGTTTGAACCCATTTTAATTGAATCCTTACGAATTTTTCAACACGAAGTGAAATGACACTTAACACTAACGTGAAGCCAACATGATGATGGCTTAAATGTCACATTTATTATGACCGCAATAAGCTGGCAAATTTATAGTAAAGTAACAAACATAGCAGCAAGCATTTCTTACGCTTTATGAATCTGAGCTGATTATTCGTTTATTCGAAAGATGAATATCTAACGTAGTAAAGAAAACAGAGAAAAGTGAACGGATGACGGAGAAACTGAATGGGCAGCGGGAATGATATATTTCAAGAAGAACTGACCATTGTTAACCAGAAGATATAAGACCGGGCTCTGAAAGGCAGAAAACGGTCCGCAGAAGCTTTCCAGATCGATGGCAGGAGGAGCTGGAGAAATTGGTTAGATCGAGTCAGATAAAAATTGCCGAAGTCAGAAGTTTGTGACAAAATCTTTGTCCAGCAGTGGATCAGTGGCATGGTGATATGACTGATGATGGTGAATTTATCAAGTGAACGTTTGCACTTTCAACACAAGTTTTAGACACCTAAATTTAAATCAGTGATGAAAAGTTTTACTTAATACTCAACGCTGTTCCTCAGCCAGATATTGATACAATAATACTAATACTGATACATCAATCATGACACTGGTACCGATTCCGGTCGACTGTAGAGTACTACTTCTTCAGCGTTGCTTCTCAAATAATTGTTCTAACCATGCATCAAGGTACGTTCGGTTGAAAGTAAATGGTAAACGGTAAGTTGACCTCTTTTATGCACAAATGACAACTCAGTGAAATTGCTCAATTCGTTCTATTTTCTCGATTTGGTTCATCACTCTACAACAAAGAAGTGAAGCTAGGAGACTAGACAGTGCTTCTGAAGGTTTCTATATTCAGGAAAAAATTCCCTGACTGAGTGATTCGCCCGAGCAGCTTCATCAGAGTCTCGTTAGCCGTCTACCTCATGCTTCATGAGAGGAATTCACTCCTACTGCAGCAGCTGAGGAGAGTGCACGCCACCCCTTCGCCATTAGCCAAGCATTTTTTTACTTCAGAAGTTGCTCGGTCCTCACCACTTGGACGAGAGGTTCGACATGAGAAGTATAAAGAACATAACTTACACCAGATCTGAAATGTAACGCAACGCGATAACATCGTCTGTTGAGAAAGTAGACGACACGACGTACAGTTATACCATGATTCAGCTTGTTATAGTGAAATTTCCAAAAGGCATGCCCTTTTAAGACATATCGATTGCTATGATCTGATTATTACTATGTACATCTATGAATAAAGAATAAGCGGCCGTAAGGTTTAATACCTGCTGCTCTGTCAAGTTGATCATCTGCGACAACTTCTGGCGTTGTTCGCTTGTAATGTAGCGCCTCTTTTGAAATTCTCTCTCCAGCACGAAAACCTGGTTCTCGCCGAATGCTCTTCTTTTGCGGATGCTACTTCCTTTCTTGACCGTTGCATCTTCCAGCTTGTCATCGTAAGGGCTCCAGCAGTATTCGGCGGTGGACTGTGACTTAGGGTTATCGATTTCTGAGGCGTCAGCAGTTGGCCTTGGGAGGAACGCTCTTCTTCGCGGACATCGTTGTTTATCCGGTTCGCCCAGAATCGTTTCCACCCGAAAATCCTTCCGACTCATTGTAAGTCCAAGCGGCATTTCAGTGCGGTACAAAGAGACAATATTCGAAACACCAAGCAGCAGCAGCAGTATCGAGAGTGTTGTTGCTGTGCGTAACAATCATGCACGTGGGCGATGTGGGCCTGGGCTGCCGCAGTTCCGCTTTGCTATGGTAAG